CCCCACCCCCGCTGGAAAGGTCACACTGCTGTCCTTTTCTCCAGTAACTAGACCTCACGGTCTGAGCTTTGATGTGGAACCTGCTATCCTGAACCCCAGCTCCAAAATCTTCCCATCTGCCCATCCTAGTCATCTCTTCATGCTTCCTAGGAACCAGTTCTATAGGAAGAGGCCAAGGAATTCTCTCAAGGATGAACTACATCATGACTTCTGAACTTTCTTTCTTGGGCTAAAAACAATCAAAATGACACCATGGGAGACAGCACAAGGGTGTAACTTCTAAGATGTCGCATGTGAGCACATGGGCGTGTGAATCTGTAACCTCTGGGTGATAAGAGAACCTGGAAGGATATTTTCACAGGCAAGGAAACACAGCCTTAACCTTGGCCATCTGGCAGCCTCACAGCACCCGCCACTGAGCTTCCGTCAGAGTTTGATGGATGACTGTTTAGCTCTTCAAATCTGAAAGATGTCACACCATCCTTTAGAAAACCGACCTGACAAGCGTCTACCTGCTGTCCTTCCACAGGTCTGACCTCCTCTCCACCGCTCGTTCACTGCAGCTTGACCAGAACTTGAAGCAGCTGGAAGCGTGGGGCTTTTGTCACATGGTCATCTGATCAGACCAGCCTCACGAGCATCCCCTAGGCAGCAGAAACAAACAACACGGGGCACATGGCGCGCTGAAAGGGCTCTTCCAGAGGGAATCCAAAACCAGCTTCCTCATACACCACCCTGGTTTAACTGATGGTGAAACTGACCCAGCCAGAGGAAAACAAACCTTTCTCATCCAGACTGCAGAAGTAGAAACCTGTCCACCCTGCTCCCCTTTGACCTTGCTATCTTATTACTAGTAGATCTTGTGTGTGTGTGTGCGGTGTGTGCATGCCCACATGTTTACTTTTTAGGGAAAAATAAACTGTAAATGTTTTCATCACAAATCAGCCAGATTCACTGCTCTCCTGGTGTCGTGTCTGATGTAGTTTCAGAGTGTCTTTGTGCACTGCCCTGTGGAGCCACTGTGAGGCTGCTTCCTGGGGCGTGCTTGGCACGGTGAGGTTTCTCAATGCGCAGGTGAAGTGAATGGACTACTCTTGATGTTTGCGGGTAAGTGAATTAATCAGGCATTTTACGCCACGATCACCTTCAGCCTCGATGGTCTTGATGCAGAGCCTCTTGGGAGCGTGGGTGCAGGGCATGCCTGCCAGGTTGTGGACACCTGGCGTATGGGTGTGCAAGCCTGCGTAAGTGTGCACACCTGAGCCCAGGGGCGAGGCTAACAACAGCAGCAGTAAGAGGAAAAGCAGCATTACAACAGAGAGACAGGAAAGACCACAGATGACATGTGAGTAAGAATACCAGGAAGAGCCCAGAGAAAGCTTGAAGATTTGCAGGGGGCTGGGAAGCTCAGTTGCCTGCCTGCTCCCCTCCCCAGCCCAGCCCAGGCCTGCTTCCTTCCATGCCAGCATCCTTGCCTACTGAGCCATGGACTAAATACCAGAGGGAGCATTAAAACCTAAAAATCCTCAAAGGGCCCCAGTATTCTCCTTTATCCATCTGCCCAAAACGATAGTGGCCTTGTCCTGTGCTTCTGGCACTAGAATGTTCCATGTGAAATCTGCTTGTGGTGAACCAGCTTCAACCAGACACAACCTCAAGGAATCAATGGCACAGCCACAAGATGGAAAAACGCTGGGTCCCAGGTCCATGTACAGCAGAGCCCAGCACGCAGCACGCTCTCCAGACCTGCAGGCAGCTCAAGTTACTATGGGTTTCTGCTACAGTGGCTGCCCCACTTCAGTAACTTCAGTGATGGGAAAGGACACCACTGAGGGCAGCTAAAGCTTGGGATGCTGCCTGATTCATGAATTGTTTAATTAAACCAAAGAGGGAAGGAAATATTTTGGGTTCATCCAACAGCCAAAACTAAATTTCTCCACTGAAGCCCGTGATCTTTCCAACATACCCCTGGGTCCTGTGCACCCCCGCAGCAATAGAAAGTAAATTGTGTTCTCTGTACTGGGTGGGAACAGTACATTCCCTCCAAGAAACTCAAGCAGCTATCAGGAGGTTAAAGTTCCACAGAGCAAGCCTGGAAACCCCTGTGCAGAATTACAGGTGTCCCCAGAATGCCCAGAATCCTTCCTGCCAGCAGCCAGATGGGCAGTCAGAAGCTGGGCAGGATGGCCTCACTAACTGGAATGCTTGCTCTAGGAGGCCCAACAAAATCTTTGGACCTGAAAACCAGCTGGGCCCTGTCATGTGGAGCAGGGGAAGATTGTTTAAAAAGCGGGATGGAAACTCTGTAGAGTCATCTCGTTCCCAGCAAGGCTACAAATAGCTCCAAAGCATGATAGCCCCAAATCCAACCAGCTGTTAGGTGGATAGGAGCCAGGGATCAAAGATCATTGTTATATAACTCAGCACATGGCCCACAGCAGGCACGCACACACACGCACGCACACACTTTACTTTGGTAACAGGCCTTGACTTTCATAACCACATTCTATTTGAATTTGCTGGGGAGTTTGCATTTGGTTTTTTCTAAGAGCCACAATTAATGAATGTCCATGCCTAATCTTCCTATTTCAATGAAAAGTGGGCCAGCAACATGAACAGAGGGGAATATGAACAGGCCAGCTCGAACAGAGGGGAACTAGGGTATCTGACCATAGCCCTTGCAGAAAGGAATTGGACTTTGTTAAAGGATTCAGCTGTGCAGCCGAGAAGCTATTTTCAGTAGCTCGCATTTTCAACAATATTTAACATGTTTCCAAGAAAAATCCTTAACACTTTATTGGAGTCAGTTAAGGAAGATTGCAGGAATTTGTCCAAGGCCAGAGGAAACTCAAAATCAGAGCCAGGATCAGGCTCCAGTCCTGTCTTCGCCCATGCTCACACCTTCCTGCCTTTTAATTAAGAAGAATAGTGGAGAGGCCAACTTCAATAAAGGCCAAAACCGCACGTATACACATGTTCAATCCTCTAAAGTACAGTACTTCTTTCTACCATTACTGCAAAAGAGCTGGAAGGAAGGAATGAGATGCTTTGCTGTGCTTAGAGCACTAATAAGAAACAAACCGTGGGCCTGGACCAGCAGGGTAAGATGGAGAAGGGACTTGAAGTGACCCAAGGAGACGAAGGGTAGCTATACCCCACCCAGAGGCAGCACACCCCAGGACCCAGGACAGAGGCTGAGGGACCAGGAAAACTCACTGTCACCCTGCTCCCCTATAGTATGGTCCCATGGGAAATCCCGTGAGCAAACATTGTCTCACTCAACCTTTTGATGAGGTGAAAAGAACTGACAAACACTGGCCAGACAGGAAATAAAAAGACAAAGGATCTAAGAAAGCTGAAAAAAAAAAAAAACCAAAACAGGAATGGTGAGGTGTTTGGAATAAGCACTTCAGTGCTGACACTCTGGGGCTTTGGGAACAGACTGAGTACCTGGAAGGGTCCACACACGAACTTCCTTGCAGACTGAGGTTGCAAACAGGTGAGTGGAATTGAAGCTGCCCTGGGCGTTTAAGGACCATACCCGCTAGTAGAGAGCCTGCCAGGAAGGGGCTCTCAGCTTCAGGGGGTGCCACTGAAGCTTCAAACCTGCTCACCCACCCAACCATTTCACAGCTTGACGAGATAAAGAGGGGAGATGTATCACTAGTGAGAGCAGAAAGCAGGATGGTGGCCCTTTTGAAGACCACAAAAGCTGTGGTCAGGAGTGGCGTCAGCAGAGGCTGGAAGAAGATGGCTTTTTGCTCTCTCTCCTCACGGTCATGTGAAGACAAGAAACCGGCTGCCTGCAACCCGCAAGATGGCCTTCACCAGACTCACTGCGCTGGCGCACTAACCCTGGCCTTCCAACCTCCAGAACCGTGAGAAATACTTTTCTGGCTTTGTTTTTTATTCATTACTATTATTTGTTAATGGGAGAGAAGTAGGCAGAGGCTGGAAAGAACTCTATCCTGGAGCTCCTCCACATTGTGCCCAACTCCACCCTCCCCGACATCACTGGCGACTATGCCTCAGAGGCCTGCCCAAGCAATGCCTTTATTTTAAAGCCTCATCACGACAGCTGTCCCAAGCTCAGCACCAGAGTTGGCCAGGCTAAGCCTGCTTTGTCCAAACCCTTTGAGGTTCTTGGTCCAGTTTTGTCTGGCTCCTAACTCTGAGTGACTGAGTGTCCACAGCCCCTACACAGAGCTGCCTTCAGGATTTGGTGAGGTTATTAGATCTTTGAGGTGCCAACCCTGGGAACGCCTGGCAGTGCTGACCCCGATCCGACTCCTTTTTCCTTGGAGGTTCCAGGATAGCACATCTATCTTAGTTTCAGCCCCTGGTTCCCTGGCTCCATGCTGTAACCCACTCATCCAACAACCCAGACTCTAACCCCAGCCCCAGGGCTGTGGATGTGCATGGTTAGGAAAGACCATGCCATGTTTTCCCTCCACTGTAAAATATTGCATAAGTTGCCCTTAATCATTTCTAGTAGTCTATGTAGTTAATTCCATAGCCTGCATTTATTTTTTTTATTTATCCCTTTATTGTCCTTGGGAGGCCAAAATTTAAAAACAACTGTTATGATTTGGGTTTTATTAAGACATATTCCATCCAAGTAGCCCCAAGGCTCGGATGCCTCTCCTTTGAGAACTTAATGCGTTGTCATCTGTTTCCAAGCCTCTCCTACAGGCCAGAAAGCACAGTAGACACTGGGAAACCAAAGGCAAGACAGCACCCCCATTTCTGATGATGTTCATAGTCCAGTGAAAAGAAAGCATCCCAAGGGTTACGACTATGTGTTGCTAAGTAGAGGAGCATGCCTGCCTAATCTAAAGCTCACTGGTAAGAATGAAAGAATGGCAAGGGAAAGGGAAGAAAGGAGTGAGAGGGAGAATCTTCTAAGCAGGGGGAGCCTCTTGAGAGTGAGAGAGAACCTCTAACTCGGTGAGTTGCATCTGTTTGGCATGTGTGATGGGTAGGTGTGTTGGAGTGGATGCAAGAATAGAGTGGTGCAGGCCACAGCCCGGTGGACCTTGTACTTCAGGCTAAACAATCTGGACTTTATTCTGTAATGGACTTAATTCTCACACTTCAGTGTACATAAGGATTGGAGGGGTGTGGGCTTGTTTTAACTGGGTTCTGAGCCCTGCACATAGACATTCAGATTCATCAGGTCAGGGAGATGATTCAAAAATCTGCACTGAATAATCACTACTCCTGTTGG